CTGGTGTACAACTCACCCTTCTGCCCATCAGACTCTCCTGAGCTGACTGAGATTGTCTCGGACCTGTTTAAGACCCCAGGATGTTGGCCCTGGGGGACTTTAATTTCCATCCTGAGGCTGTTCTGACTGGGGAAGCTCTGTACTTCATGGAAGCCATGGGACTGTCTCAACATGTCTGCACAACCTATGAAAGAGGTCATACTCTGGACCTGGTTTTCTCAACAGGGCAGGAAGATGGTGATCTGGAAGTGAGGAATCTGATTCTAACTCCTTTGTCATGGTCAGATCACTTCCTCATGAGATTTGAGCTCGGGTTGACCTGTCTCTCTGTAAGGGTCGGACCACATTAAGATGGTCCACCCCCCAGAGTGTTATGGAACCAGAGGGATTCCTGAGGGCTCTGGGGGATTTTCAGGTTGATAAAGTTGTCTCTTCTGTTGATGCTCTGGTTGATTTTTGGAACGGGGAAATGACCAGGGCAATTGACATGATTTTTCACCAAAATTGACCCTGCAGCTAAGAGACAAAGAAGAGAGGAAACCCCTGAAAGAGATCTGCCCAATGTCTGTATGGAGGGGGACTCTCCCTCCAAACAATAACCTCCCCACCACCTAGGTTAGGGCTCTCCACTGTACTGTATTTTGTTACTTTGTTGTTCTTTGTTGTTCTTTGTTACTTTGTTTCAAATTTTTGGGGAAATAATGGGGAAATTTGACTTGCTCGCAACCAATACAGTTCATGATCAGAATCATGGAATGGATTAAGTTCATGAACCAAGGTACTCCTCTAAGTGATTTTGGCCCTCTCCTGGATGGGGTAGCACTCCCTCTAAAGGACAGGGTCTACAGCTTAGGAGTGCTCCTTGACCCAGAGCTGTCCCTGGAGGACCAGGTGACAGTGGTGGCGAGGAGCGATTTCCTTCAGCTTCGGCTGAAGTCCTTACTGACTAGCTGAGTCCTTTCCTGGACGAGCACTGCCTAGCAACAGTGACACACACTCTAGTAACCTCCCCGATGGACTCTGGCAACTCGCTGCACATGGGGCTGCCCTTGAAAATGGTCCAGATAATTCAGTTGGTACAAACTAAAGCTGTTAGATTGCTGATGGGGGCTGGTCATTATTCTCATATAAACACTGGTCCTTTACCAGGTACAATGGCTTCCAATTGAAGTCCAGGCCCAATTCAAGGTGCTGGTTCAAGTAAGACCCACAGTGAACATGTGGCTTTAAATGCCCAGAGGCGTTCTTCAGCAATAGCACAATTTATGAGGGGGGGGATTATTTATTTATTTATTTAAAACATTTCTATGCCGCCCCATCACAACAAAGCCTCGGGGCAACTCACAACACATAAATACTAAAATTATACAATAAATAATACAATAAATAACACCCCCCATCAGGGAAAAAATCAGGGCTAAAGGGAAAATGGCTGCTCTTTCCCTTTAGCCCTGCAATCACCCCATGCCAAAGTATTAGCTCAACTATTTTATGGCTCTCAACTGGGGCCCTTCCCAAATATTCATATACAGGAACGTGCACAAGGGATGTTTCCAGTGTAAGGTTTGATGGGAGCCTGGCCAGATCAAACGTGAGGCTGGGGTCTGATCACTGTCCTTGAGCACTGGCTCCAAGTTTCTGACTTTCCAGCTGGTCTCACCTCACTAATTTTGCAGGATGGCTTTAAATTGGGTGCTGTAAACTGGGCAGAAAAGAGCTTCTTTGGGCCGCTGCTGGAGGCCTCCATTAGATGTGGGTTTTGAGGAGGCAGCAGGAATCATCCAGCAGCACATTGCAGGGACTGAGAGCCAGACTGAGCTCCACAACATCTCTAAATTCGACCTCAGGGAGGACGACAGACACCTCGTGGCAGCCGTGCCCTGCCTTGCTCAGCTGGAATGGTATGAGCAGAGAGAGAGCATTGAGCTGGGCCCATCTTGATGGCCTTCCCTCAGCTGTGTTGGGGGGATGGCATAATAGGACCCCTGGCAGATTGTTCTTGCCCCTGCAGCATGGAGCAGAGGGAAAATGGATCAGATCTGCTCCAGAATATTCCCAGGGATTGTTTTCAAACTAGCCTGCCTGCAGTTTCCAGGATCTGCCCGTTTGCTCATGTTGAAGGTGGAGCGAGCATTAGCTCTTCTAAAGTCATCTTGTCCTCCACCCTCCTCCATGATTTCTCAGAGACAGATTCACAGTAAAGCAGAGCTGAAGGGGCCATAAGGCTGCTGCTATGTGCAGGACTCAAGTCACACCATCCCTCTAAGATGGATTTCCAGGTGCACTTGAGTGCCTTTTGTTTGGGAGAGCCTCCACCTCCCCAGATCAAGGCTTCCATTGTCATACTCTGGAAAGATCTCCTGATACCTAGCTGGAATCTGGCTTCCTGAAACTTGAACCTGTTGTTCTGTGTCCTGCACTATGGGATGATCAGGAAGAGATCCTTTCCTTCCCTTTGCGACAGTCTTTCAAGTACTTGCAGAGTGCCATCATGTCTCACCAACCAGTGCGGAGTAAGGGGAAACCAGCTCTTCACGGGATTTGGAAGCGCTTCTTCTTTTCATGCAGCCTAAAAGAGCATTTTCCATTTTTGCAGTTGCATCACTTTGTTGACTCATATTCAGCTTGTGATCTACAACTGGCATTGGTCCTGCTTGCCTGAGCCACCCACCTACACTCTGATTTGACTAGGGCCCTCCTGCCCCTCCTCAGCATGCCCTTCTGTGTTTCAGCTCAAGTCAAGCCTTTTCTGGAGCCAGACTCGATTCTTCTGCCATCTGCTGTATCTTTTGTTTTGGGGAAACAGCATGGAACTGGGCCTCTAACTTTTCTTTTTTTAAGTTCCCACCCACCTCTTTTCACTTGCCAGTGCATCTTTTTTTGAGTTTATTAAGATCAGTGTTCCCAAAATACAGACTACGTGCCAGCTGCACTCCACTTTCACTTCCCTTAAGATCAAGAACTCAAGTATGTTGTGGTAATTTCCCCCAAGTCCCCAAAAAGGCCCTTCATGATGGAGGAAGGTCCCTGACATGCATGTAAGAATTTATTGGGGAGATGTGGCTTGCAGGGTGAGAAAAGGCAGCATAGCCAGATCCTGCACTCCAGACATCCCAGAGTTAACACTGTAATGTGAGTCAAGCCAGCATAAAAAGTTAAAATGTTTGGATGAACTAATGCAATGAAGAGACAAAGGAGGCTGGAGGAAAATGAAGGACTGAATGCCTTTTTGGGAGCAGATAAATTCATTATCAATTATTTCAATTCTGGAGGAACAGAAACAGCATCTCAGTTCCACGAGAGCTGAAATAGAAACCCTGCTACAGAATTTAAAAAGGAGAAGCCCCAGGGTTTGAAGGTTTTACCACAGATTTGTGTAAGACATGTGAGACTGAAGTATTTCTGCATCACTAAAAAATGTTAAATTAAGGGGAGATGAAGCACCTAGCAAATTAGTGAGAAGATTAGCTATTCCAAAATCAGGAATTGATGGGGCACCCCATTTCATGTGTCAAGTAATTAGCTAGCAAAATTGTTGTCAACAGTCATGAGATTCACTCAAATAAATGACGGTACAGAAAATTACCGTTATTTTAGCCAAAAGATCAGGTACTTTTATAATAAAATACATGGGAGAAGAAATATGAAAAAGTATGCCGATTAGAATTGAGGAAAAATTTTAACTTTAATATGGAAATGGTATCTGATGACAGTAAGATTATTCTATATGGATAATTAATATGTGAGTGTATGTTTGAGATGTGGGCATAAAATGGGCACCTGTTTCCCTATGTGGTGAGAGTTTGAAAATATTAAGAAATTTTGGGGAATGGTTTTTAAGATAAGCAAGAAATTGAACATTCAAGTTGAAGCAGATTCCAAAATAGCATTGCAGTTAATATTTTACAAAAAGAAATGGAAATAAAATATCAAAAAATTAATAATTAATTTGGTATCATCAGCAAAAATGATAATAGCAAAGAATAGCAAGGAGAAATGGGATCTTCATTGAATGGTAGAAAGAAATTTGGAATATAGCTGCTAATGCGAAGTTGAAGTGGGATTAGGGTGAAAAAGACTGATGATTTTAATGATCTATGGATTTTGTTTCTTGAATGAGTACTAATAAAAAGGAAGGGTATTAAACCTTTGGTTGATTCAATAAATGCAGGTTTGGATGGAAGGGGGTATTCCTGAATGGGCAGAAAGTGAAAGCTAGAAGCAAAGAAGAAAGGAGAAATGAAGGTATAAATAGCCTCGGTCCCAGTGGCAGGATGCACAGGTTGTGTTTGCTTTTTTATATATGGGTTGTTGGGTTTTTTGTATTTTGTGTGGGGTTTTTTCTTTCAGTGTTACGATGCACAGTGGTACCTTGGCTCGTAAACTTAATCCATTCCAGGACTCTGGTCATGACCCAAATTGGTCATGAGCCAAGTCAAATTTTCCCATAAGGTTCAATGTAAATGAGGTCAATCTGTTCTGTAAATATTGTTTTTAATCACAGGGAAGACGAGCATGATCGTGGGCGTGCTCGGGGCGGGGGGAAGATGGGCACGATTGCAAGTGCGCTGGGGGAGATGGGGTGTGATCATGGTCACGCTTGTGCAGGGAAGACAGGCGTGATTTCAGCCATCACTGCCCTGAGCACGATCGCTGCCATCTCCCCCCCCCCCCCGAAAATGACCGTAATCACATCTGTGCAGGGAAGATGGGTGCAATCGTGATCTTCACCAGATGCGGAGTTCATGAGCTGAGGAAAAAATTTTCTGCAATTTCTGTTCATGACCCAATCTGGCCATGAACTGAGGTGTTCATGAGCTGAGGTACCACTGTACTTTAATCTTAATTAAAAATATTTTAATAAATAAATAAAAATAAATCTGATGTGCTTAAAGCGTCTGATCATATGGAATGGCAATACATATTTGAACTCATGACAGTGATGAATATGGGTGTGATGCTTATTACACTTATAAAATAAATTATATGGAGGTGCATATTCAGTAGTAACCATTAATGGTATGGATTCTGAAAAATTCAGGAAGGGCAATCAATTATGAGCATTGATATTTGACTTTCTCTAAGAACCACTGGCAGCTGGGCTCAGAGAAAACACTAATAAGAATAAAAGCTAAGCAACAGAACATGAATTGATGTGCGGATGATGGGCTTCCTTTTTTAGAAACCCTATTAAAACATTAGAGCATGGGTCCTCAAATTTTGGCCCGTGGGACGAATGTGGCCCACCATGGCCATTTATCCAGCCCACCTCAGAGGTTTTGGACTTGCTGCCTGCCCGGCACCTGCCTTGCCCCGTATGTGGGGAAGTGATGACTTGCTTGCACGGAGGTTGTTTTGGACTCACTTGGAGAAAACAATCTTCAAGAGAGCAAGCCACTGCCTTGCGCACCTACCTGATGGCACCTGCCTGCTCCTGCCGGTGCCTCACCTCACCTTGATGCACCTGTGCGCCCCGCCAGCACCACCTTTCCAGCCCATGCACAGCACTGGCATCTGTCAACTGGCCCCTTGGAGGAAAAGTTTGAGGATCCCTGAATTAGAACCTCTAATACAAATATTGGAAACATTCAAGGGCTACAGAGATGAAAATGAATTATGAGAAATGTAAAGCATTCTGTATAAATATGTCTGTAGAAAACAATAAGAAATTCAAAGAATGCCTATTACAGACCTTTGATACTTTATATTTGTGTAAAGGGAAACATTAAGAAAGGGCCCAGATTCAATTTATTTGTGTCAGGCAAGCTTGAAATAGTAAAATTTTAGATATTACCAAAATGCTTCATTCTATTTCAAAATATTAATTAATTAATTAGGAGAACTTATATGCTGCCCCATTCGCATAAGCCTTGGGGCGGCTTCCAAACATAACTAAATATAAATGATACAATTACATAAAATATTGGAGACATTCTGGTGAGAAATTATTAAAATCAATAAAGTTAACAATTAAAATAACATTTAAATAAAAAGGTCTTGGCCTGGCGCCAAAAAGCAAATAACGATGGTGCCAGGCGGACCTCTTTGGGGAGCGCATTCCATAAGTTGGGCGCCACCACAGAGAAAGCCCTCCTTTGGGTACTCATCCGCCTAATTTCCTTCATGGAGGGTTCCCGGAGAAGGGCCTCTGCCGCTGATCTCAAGGGGCGGGAGGGAATATATGGACGTAAGCGCTCCTTTAGGTAACCAGGTCCCAAGCCATTAAGGGCTTCATAGGTGATAAGCAGCACCTTGAATTGGGCCCAGACTTCAATGGGGAGCCATTGAAGCTGATGGAGTACTGGAGTTCTGTGAGCACAACGCCCAGTCACCGTCAGCAACCTGGCAGCTCTATTTTGCGCCATCTGAAGTATCCGGAACCTTTTCAAGGGCAGCCCCACGTAGAGAGCGTTACAGAAGTCTAATCGGGAAGTAACCAATGCATGTGTCACTGTCGCCAGGCAGTCTTTCTCCAAGTAAGGACACAGCTGATGGATCAGCCGAAGCTGAAAGAAAGCATTCTTTGCCACCGCTGTCACTTGAGCTTCCAAGTTAACTCTGGATCTAGGAGCACTCCCAAGCTGCAGACCCTGTCCTTAAGGAGTGCAAGGAGGGAGTGCAACCCCTTAAGGGAGTGCAACCCCATTCAGGACAAGGTTGAAGTCCCCCACCCCGAAGCCTGATCTGCCTACCAACAAGACCTCCATCTCATCTGGATTGAGCTTCAGTTTATTGGCCCTCATCCAGTCCATTACCTCAGCCAGGCACTGGTTCAGTACAGCTACTGCCTCACCTGGATTGGTTGCGAATGAGAGGTAGAGCTGGCTATCATCAGCGTACTGATGACTCCACAGCCCACACCTCCTTATGACCTCTCCCAGTGGTTTCATGTAGATGTTGAATAACAAAGGGGACAAAATGGACCCCTGCGGTACTCCATGGCATAACTGCCATGGCGCAGAGCCATAGTCCCCCAGCACCACCTTCTGGAATCGGCCGTTGAGATAGGAGCAGAACCACTGCAAAGCAGTACCTCCTACTCCCAATCCCACTAGCCTCTCCAGAAGGATACCATGGTCAATGGTATCAAAAGCTGCTGAGAGGTCCAGGAGAACCAACAGGGATGCACTCCCCCTGTCCTTCTCCCTGCACAGGTCGTCATACAGGGCGACCAAGGCAGATTCAGTACCATACCTAGGTCTGAAGCCGGACTGAAATGGGTCCAGAAATATTCCTTTGTATTCAGGTGTTAACAAAAAACAAAATTGCCCAAGGATCACTGCTTAATAGTAGCAGTGATCCTCCCAGGGCCAGCATTGCATGGGGGATTGTTTGGGGACTGGAAGGAGGGGCTGAGGCAGGACAGGTGGGGATGGGGAAGGGCCTCCCCCGAAAAGACTCACCTCTCCTGCCCACCATGCGCCCGGTGGCAGCCACGCCGTAGTTGTGCCAGCAGAAAGTGTCCACGGCTTCCCGTCTGTACTCCAGCCTCTCCTTCTGGCTGTTCCAGAGCTCGACATCATGCTCCCCCAGCGGTGTCACGGCCACAAACTTGTCCAGATCACTGTCAAAGTAGTTGGTCTCCTGCCGGTAGTAGAAGTGCCTCTGCAGGAAGCACACCTGCTCCTGCCCCATCACCTTGGAGAAGTGGCACTCCAACTTCTCCTGGGCCAGGAACTGCCCCGGTGCTACAGGTGGAAGAGGGACCCCCTACCCAGGCTTTAAGGGGGGTGGTGTAGCCCAGACCAGACTCCTCATGGGCACATTCACTGGTTCCTCCTGGGCCAAGCACTTGCAGAAAAAGGCCTGTGCCCTCTTCCCCATCCACCTGGCAGCCAATCATAAAGCTGTCCTTGCCACAGGGAGCCAAAACATCCACCCCTGACGCACACAGACTTCTGCCCTCCCCAATCTGTCTTCAACAACCCTGCAATGTAGGTTGAGTTGAGAGGCAGAGGCTGCTGCCGAGTCAGGTAGGGAGCTCCGTGCTCGGGTCAGAATGGGAACCTGGATCACCAGAATCCCAGCCTTGCGCTGTAGTCACTGAACCTCACAGCCTCCCTCAAAGTAGCCATCCCACGAAGCTGATCGGAGAATTCAGGACGGATCAAAGGAGGGAGGGTTAACTGTGGGATTCACCTCCTCAAGAGGCAGAGGGGGCATGAAATGGGGATGGGACAAATTCATGCAGGAGAACACTATGCCAGGCTGCTAGTCCTCATGGCTCTGGGCAACCCTCAGTGTGCCATACATAGCACCTGGAAGGGAACAGGGGTGCTGTAGCTCTCATGCACTTCTTGTGAGTTTCCCAGGGGAGGAGACCGGGAGTGCTGGTCTGCATGAACTCCCCCTCCTTACACACACACAGCAGCTGACCCAACAAGTGAAAATTTCTTCTCTTTGTGCCTTTCCACCAGCCTTCCCAATGGGCTTCCCTCCGGATCTGTTGAACAGTAACACCCACTGTGCAATGCCAGGCAGACAGGTCAGGCCTGCTTAATGCTAAGCATCTTGTGTCCCAGTTGGACTTCTGCTTGACATCATGGATGTTGGAACGATTCTTGCCTAATCCACTTGGATCACATGACACTGAGGCAAACATTCCCCACTCTCACACCTGATTGCTGCGGACACCGAGTTCTTTGTGGGATGGGGGTTCCTCTGCCTTCAGCAGCAGCAGCTTGTCCAGCATGGAGAGCAGAGAGGAGGAGAGCTCCCCCTGTTGAACTGCCACCTGCAGTTCTGTCCCCTCCCTACATCCTGTCCCTCCTTCCCTCCCCTTCAAAGCATCTAGGGAGCAGCCAATTCACCCCCCTCCCTGGAAAAGCACCCCAAGCCCTGTTGGGGACTAGCTTCTCGGAGTCCCCGTGCAAGGATAGAATGGTGGAGAACAAGTTCCGGGGGTCCCACCACTCTTCTCCACCCAGTCCTCCCTCCCCGCTTCCCAAATCCCTCTTGTCCCTTTCCCCCCACCACAGACCCAAAGTTTCACCCTCAGAGCAACAGAGGAGAAACAGAAAGAGCCAAAGAAGACCAGCGAGAGACGGAGAGACTCTGCGAAGGGCACTGCAGCCTGGAATTCGGGGTTGCCAAGGACAGGCCATCCTCGGGGCTTTGTTCAGCATCACTGGGAGAATCCACGCAGACCCCATGGCTGCTGCTGCCCCACAGGTGGATGAAGGACATCCGCTTCAGGTTCAGAAGGGAAACTTTTTCTTTTATTTAGCAGCAGCAGAGTGAGGGGATGGGAGACAGGACAAAGCCCTGAGGGGGTGTAGAAAAGCACCAATGAGAGTTTTCTCTTGTGCAGCATCATCAGTCTCCAGGCAGAGGGAGCTGGACTTTGGCAATCCTAGATGATTAGGTTTGAATTCAAAGGGAGTCAGTGGAAGCTCTGTATCTATGTGGCAGGCAGCGGGGTGGGGAGATTAATCAGGACCCCCCTGACTTCCTCCTCTTGCCAGGATGGCTGAGATGCAGGTCATGGGGGGTGGGGGAATTAGGGAGTAGGGAAGGGCCACAGTCAAAAAGATCAGGTATGAGATGGCCAGAAGCCTCATGATCTGAGAGTGGGGTCTCTGTGGGATGGAAGGCTGGCTGGGGTGGGGGATCCATGTCCCCTCCACCTTTTTCATCTACTCTTCCTGTAGGGCTGCTCCCCAGACTGCATCCTCAGTGGGTCTTCCTGGGATGGATGCAGAGCCTCTTTCACCAAGGGGGCCGGACTCTGGGGCTGGGTTCACAGAGAAAGGGAAGCCACGGAGGTTCCTGCCACAGGGTGGTCTCTTGAGGTGGCTGATCCATGGCCTTGACCTGCTGCTCAACACTTTTGCTTTTCCAGGAACTAGGGGAGGAACAAGGGCGTGTGGTGTGGATGTCGGGCTTTGCCAGGGCTTATTTGGTCATCTGAACCTGGACACAGAGTTTTTATGTGACTACCATAGAGTCCAGTAGAAGGAACAGCAAATGAAGGAGACCGTCTTGTCATGCATCCTCTATATGCTGACCAATCATAAAGAGACAGGCATGGTAGACAGTACCAGTGCACCCTGGGAATGAACAACAGCAGCAAAGGGTGCAGGGATACGTGCCACCAGCACTGGGGGGTGGGGCTCAGCTGGAGCCCTGTGGCCACTTCTGGGCACCAAGAGTAGGGGAGGGATGCAAACAAGCTGGGGAGGGTCAGGGGAGGGCACTGAAGATGATCCTGGGCTGGAAATGAAACCCTGCAAGGAAACACAGGAAGAGCTGGGCATGTTTAGCCTGGAGAAGAGAAGAGGGAAGGGAGGAAGGCCAGGATCTTTCTCCATCATCCCCAAGTGCAGGATATGGACTGAGGGGCTCCAGTTGCAGGAAGCAGATTCTGGCTACAGATCAGGAAGTACTTCTGGACTGCGAGGGCAGTACAGAAATGGAATGAAGGACCCAGGGAGGTTTAGGGCTCTCCCACAGGAGGCTTCCAAGGTGCAGCTGGACCTGAGAGGGATGGTTCAACTTGGGGTACTGAGCAGGGCATTGTCCAAGTGAGTTCTGATCCCGTCCAGCTCTGCCATCCTGTGAGCCTGTGGGAAGCCACATCCAGCCCTGCTGGGTTATGGGGCTCCCCTATGCATGCCTGGACCCAAATAAGATCCACAAGACTCCGGGAGGAGCTGAGAGGGGTTGCACCCCCAATCCCAGTATTCCCCGGCCAGCAGGACTTGCTAGAGCATGCTGGGAATTGGAGGCCTCCTTTATTGGCGTTGCCTGTTTGTTTCCTTTTCGTAACAGGATGCAGCCTCTGTTTTCATGGGGAATCTTCCTGCTTGGAGCCTGGATCAGGTCCAGAAGGGGAAATGGAAGAGCAAAGCTGTAATGCAGCAAAACCAAAGTGGCAATGAATAAAAAAAGAGTAAAAAAACTAAACCAGGAAAAGAAAAGGCATTTCCTGGTGCTCAGGTGGGACCTTGGGCATGCCAAGGTGGTGCTGGACAGCTGGCCCCAGCCCCTCCCTCGGGGTCAGGCATTCCACAACTGGGGGCCAACACAGAAAATGTCCACCAGTTACATGAATATGACCCTCCTTGGGAGCACTCTGGAGGCACATGGGTTCTTGGGCTGAGGAAAGTAGATGTGGGTGCGGGAGGCCCTGCTAGGTCTCATCCTGCACCTGGGCCCTTCCAAGTCTCTTTGCAAGCCAGCAAATTTTTGTGATGAGTCTGCAGACCCTCTCAATGTGAAATGCTACAAACAGAGATGATTATTATTATTATTATTATTATTATTATTATTATTATAACATTTCTATGCTGCCGCTTGCCGAAGCCTCGGGGTGGCTTACAACACAATAAGATACATTCAAATACAATAGAACATAATAAATTACCACTTAAATACAAAAATACAAAAAATACACTGAGATACAATAATATAAAATTAAAATTAACAGTATAAAATAAGTAAATAAAGAATATAGGAGGAGAAAAGAGAAGGAAGAAGAAGTTGCCCTGGCCAGATCATATGTTTTAACAATTAAAATGATGTTTAAATAAAAAGGTCTTTACCTGGCGCCGAAAAACCAGTAACGATGGTGCCAGGCGGACCTCTTTGGGGATTGAATTCCATAGGTTGGGTGCCACCGCAGAGAAAGCCCTCCTCCGAGTACTTACTCTCCTAATTTCTTTCATGGAGGGTTCCCGGAGAAGGGACTCTCCCGCAGATCTCAAGGGGTGGTCGGGCATATACGGATGTAAGCGCTCGTTCAGAAAACAGATTAGAAACAGAAGTGATTTTATTCATGTATTGGGACAATATGGCACCTTTTTCTTTTTTAAGGACTCATAGAATGATAGAACATTGGGGTTGGAAGGGGCCATGAAGGCAATTGGATTCAACCTGCTGCTGTTGCAGGTCACCAAGTTACACAATCCCACTCAGAGAGTGGCCTCATATCTTTTGAAAGCCTCCAATGTGGGAGAACCCACTGTCTTTCCAGGCAGCTGGTTACACTGCTGTATTGATTTGAAAGTGAGGAAACTTCTCCTGATGTCCAGCCTGAATCTGGGTTGTCGCAAGATGAATTGATTCCTTCATGTCCTAGACTCTGACATTGGCAAGATGAAATCTTGACCTTCCTCTTTTTGGCATTCTTTGAGGGACTTCTAGAAGGATCTCATGTCCCCCCTCAGTCTTCTCTTTTCAAGGCTGAAGACGCCCAGTTCTCTCAGTCTCTCCTCATAGGGCAGTGTTTCCAAACCCTGAATCATTTTTGTTATCCTCCACCGGACCCTTTCTAATTTTTCTGCATCTTCCTCAAATTTTGGTGCCCAGAAGTGGACACAGAATTTTTGATGTGCTCTGGCTAGTGCTGAGTAGAAAGGAACTATTATTTCTCATGTTTGGAAGTGATACTTCTATTAATGAATTCCGGTATAGGATTTGCCCTTTTTTAGCAGGCATGTCATATGGTTGGGTTATGTATCTTCAGAAAGTATCTTTTTAAGACTCTTCAGAAAGGCAGAGCAGAACTGGGGACAAGCAACTGGGGAGAAGGTGGGGAGGGGCCGGACCTTCAGGTTGCTGGACAGGAGATGCTAGAGAGAGAGCTAGAGAGAGAAAGAGAGTTTAATACATGGAAGGAGGGGCTGCTTCCTGAGGACCAAAGCAGCTCCTCAAAGCAAAAGCTGCTGAAGACTTTCCTTGGCTCAGCCCAAATTCCCCATTTCTGCAAAATACAAACTGCCTTCCCAGGAAAGCTGCTGGGCTGAGAGGGACACCTGTTTGGAGGGAGGATTTCTAGCCAAGCCCCTCATGGAGGCCTTCTGGTCTTCTGGGATATGGAGGGCACTTAATCTGGGGCCCCCATCCTGTGTCCCTTGATGCCCATGGGAACCTGTGCAGGCTCCATGCATGTCCTGCTGTAGATTTGGGGAGGGTCCACCTTTTGGAGTTAAGAGCGCCCCTTCCATAGAAATGGCTCCAATTCATGAACGACCAACAAGGACACAAGTTCCTAATTTGATGTGCCTAAAAGTATAGGAGTGTTACCTTTGAATGTGAAAGGCTTTGGAAATGGAATTCAATGGAAAAGAATTTTCCCTTGGCATACAGGTTGAATCCCACCAGCATCTTCAGAGGAAAGGGGACTGGAAATACATCTCTTTCCCTGGACCTGTCCCCACAAGTTCCTCAGGTGCCCTCCAGTGCCCCCTTACCTTTCTTGCTCCTCAGGTAGCAGGTGAGCCCCACAGTCACGAAGACCAGGCCCAGCAGGGCCCCCACGATCCCCATCCACACTTTCCTCCTGGCAGACTCTGATGTCCGTGGCTCTGAGGAAAGTGGAAGGGAGACTCACGTGAGAGCCAGATCAGGGCCAGGCTTGGCCTTTCAGCCCCACGGATTGGCAGGAGGGCCCATTCCATGAGCTACACATGAGGGGTCTTTTTCAGCCACACTGCTAGCCTTTTGGGGGTTGAGAGAGTCCATTCCAGTCTGCAGTGGCTGCATGGCTGAGTTCATGTTTCCAGCCCTTCCATGTGCATCTGAAGCACCACACTGGGAAGGAGGGCAAGGGAGTCCAGAGTGGAGACATAGAATTGGCGGTGAGAGACTGAAATATTCTGGGAACCCAGTGGGATTCCTGCAGCAGCTCTGGACTGGTGGTGGATGAGGGGGAGCTTCCAATTTCTCCTCCAGGAGTCCCTCAGCCACCCCATGGCTCCTACTGCTCCCCGCAGAGCCAAACCCTCAGACTGAGTTGCCTCCAGAGTGGACCCTCCCTGCCTCCCCCAAATCCAGCCAGAGACCCTTCAGGGAAGTCCATGAAGAGGACCAAAGCACAGCACACCCCCACCCCTGCCCCACATGGGGTAATTCCAAAGAAAAAGCATTCTTGTATGGGTGCTCATCACCAATGCAATCCAGCTGAAGACAGCCTCTCAGGATGGACCCCCTGATAAGGGGACTCCACTGGGAAGAGTGCAGCTGCCCTGCCCCTGGCCCAGCTCAGGGATGGGGAATATCCACCCAGCTTCCAGGAGTGCCCCCGCAGAGGGAAGGGAGGGAGGAGGGCCGTACCCCACTGCACGGTGAGGAGTGTCTCCAGGCTGGAGTGCTCCACCTGGCAGGCATAGATGTCTCCCCGCTGGGGGGTGTCCTCCAGCATCACCTGGGTCTGGTACGTCCAGTCCCCATTGTGCAGCTCCTCCCCGTAGAAGACCCCCTCCGTCGCCCGTCGCCCGTTCTTCAGCCAGCGGATCTCGATCTCCTGGGGGTAGAAGCTGGCCGCAGTGCAGAGCAGCAGGGTGTGGGGGGAGAGGGGGTCGTCCTTGGTGGGGGAGATGGTGACCGTGGGCTGGACTTGGGGGGAGGAGGGGTGAGATATGAGAGGAGTGCAAGAGCGGAGGGAAGAGTGGAGAGGGATGGGGAAGAGGAGGGGTATTTCTAGGATAGACCAGGCCAGCACTTTCCTTTCTCCTCAGCCAGCCCAGCATCCCTCTGGGGCATCACAAAGTTGTCCCCATGGCCAACCATGCCATCTGGCCTTCCTCATGGACATGGCTCTTGTGTCACAGATTATGAGAAGATTTAGCGGAATTGGAATTGTAGCTGAGAAACAGTGAAATGCACTTCCTCATTATGAAATGCCAACTCAAGCAGTTCAAAACATGGTTTTAAATTTGGGAAGATGAAAGAGTTAACACTAGCACCACACAGAGAAAGGAGCAGCGTCACAAAGCATTCTTGGTAGCTGATGTTAAAAACAAGTCAGCCAGGCTGTTTGGATCGCGTCTAAGTTGGAAATGTTGTTTTTGCTCCCCACTCACTAGAAAAATGGGCCCAGAGGGAGGCAGGGAGAGGGCCCTTGGTCATCTGGACTGCCATCTTGGCCTCCCCGCTTTGCATAACTCCAACGGAGTCAATTCTCACCAGTAAACAAAAAAATGCCCCCATTTGGAACATTTGGAATGGAATGGCCCCATTTCCAGCTGCAACCCAAGGACCTGGGTACCCACCTTCCTTGGCCTTAGTGAGCAGGACAATGGATGTGGGATTGCTTCACCACAAAATCTTGTCCTCTCCTCCCTGCCACCCAGGCATGATATGATTTCTCTGCTCATTAGTGGATATAGACATATATGGGGAAGAGCAGAATCTCAAAGGAGGAGATTTAGTGATTTGGATGGGGAACTCCCACCTCCTGAGGAGGTGGACATAGAAACATAGCAATTGAGTGAGTCAGAAGGGGTCTCCTGGGCCATCTAGTCTGACCCTCGGCTCCAGCCAGCTCTGGTCATGTTCATCATCGCAGTCGTAGTGTGGCCCAGTTGGGGTCTCTGAGGGGGAGAACTCCTCCCTGCATGGATAGATGCAGAAGGGTTCATAAAGAGAGCTCTGGGTGAAGAATGCCTGAGTGGGTTCACAATTTCACTTTGTGCCTGCTCAGAGACTTGTGTGTAAAATGAAGACATTTGGCAAAGAAATGCTGGTGAGACAATTTCTGCTGGAAGGAGAAGCCCAGCTCACAATGTTGCTCCATGTCCCACCCCTAAGAATGATGAGTGCCCGCCCCCACACGTGCCTGGATCTGAGGAAGAGGCAAATGCATGCCTTCAAACGCGCATGTTTCAGTGCTCCTCTGGGCATGAGCTTTGCACAGGCCTTGGCAGCATTCAAGTCACGAAGGGGCTGCTCTGAACTAGGTGGGGGCTTGTTCATATCCCCCACTGCCACCCCCATGGCCTCCCACTGAGTTAAATGGGCTTGCATAAAGGGACTGAAGGAGGGGAGGGGCTCGAAGGGGTTATGAGATGGGGCAAATTTTCTCAAGGGGGATCTTTTTGCAGCCCCCATTCCCCATGGCAAGGAGGGCTGAGAAGAGAAGACTAAGTGGGGGGGGGGGACATGATAGCACTCTATAGTACTCTAATTCATGAGAAGTAGTAGTTCCTCTATACTCTTCACGAGTCATATCTCACTGGAATCTTGCGTCCAGTTCTCGTCACCAAGGTTGAAGAAAGATGCAGGTAATTTAGAAAGGGTCCAGAGGAGGACAACAAAATGATCCAGGGTTTGGAAACACTGCTCTGTGAGGGGACACTGAGGTAACTGGGCATGTTCAGCCTTGAGAAGGAAAGACTGAGGGGGGATATGAGATCCCTCTAGAAGTACCTCAAAGTCTGTGTCAAGATCTCTTCTTGCTGATGTCAGACTATAGGACACGGAATGATCAATTCAAGTTGTGGGAACCCAGATTCAGGCAGGACATCAGGAAAAGCTTCCTCTCTGTCAGAGCAATATGACAGTGGAACCAGCTGCCTGGAGAGGTGCTGGGATCCTCCACACTGGAGGCATTTGAAAAGAAACTGGACAGCTGTCTGAGTGGGATGGTGTGACTGGATGTCCTGTAAGAGGACCTGAGGGTCTTTGGGACTCCTTCCATTTCCATCATTCTGTGATGGAGGGGCTGGAATGGGGCCTGGGCACCCAGTCACATGCCTTCAGTGCTTGGAAAGACTGCTCTTCTCTGCTGCTCTGGCCCCACTTGCCTGCCTGCCCCATACGGGACACTCCTAGACTCACCACGCCGAGCATGGGCAAGTGTTCCCAGGATCTGGAAGTTGTGTCGACAGAAGCGATCCACCTCACTCCTCTTGTAGTGCACCAGCTCCTTCTGGCTGTTCCAGTAATTGGCCGCGGGCTCCCCCAGTGGCGTGACGGCCTCGTACCTGCCCAGGGTGCTGTCGAAATGCACGATCTCCTGCCGGTCATAGATGTATCTGTCAAAAAAGTGCACCTGCTCCTGCCCCATCGCGTTGGAGAAGCGGCACTCGTAGGTCCACTGGGCCAGGAACTGCCGTGGGGCTGTGTGGGGGACAGAAAGGAGAAGGTGAGGAGAAGGGAGGTGGTGTCAGTTGCAGATCGTGGGGCACCCAGTAGCCCCCTCCGCAGCAGAAGGTGAGAGCCCCCCCACCACCACCACAAGGGCAGCTCTGAGGTACATGCAGCCGCTTGGCGGGGCCTGGATTGCGCCAGCCGATCTGGCACCATGCTGCACTATTAAAGATGTAAGTTTCCAGTCCTTCAGGGGTTGAAAGCGGGCAGCAGCATGTCCCAGCAGGCACTCTCCAGCCGATTGTCTTCAGAGCAAGGAGCTTCCCCACCTCCCGGCGCCTGCAGCCAGCGAGGAAAACCTGACCAGATCGACAGCAACCCCTGGAACTGAATCGACTGCCTTTTCCTTGCACTTGCAGTGCGCAAATGTACAAGTGACAGAATGCAGGCAGGGCCAAGCTGTCACACCCAGGGCTGGTCCCAGGGCTGGGGGAGGCCTGTCCGGTGCTGCAGGGGCATGGGGAGGAGAGATCAAGGGCTTGACAGGGTTGGGAAGTGACTCTTTCATTTGTGCGCCCCGAAGTGGGCAGCCGCCTCCCATCAGGGCCTCATTGTCAGGGGAAGCGGCTTTGACACCCCTCTGGGAGAATGGGTCCCTCCTGCCCCCTCCCTCTCCTCACCTGGGGGCTTCTGCCCTCCCTCAGTGCCAGGGACCAGAGGTAGCTCCAGCAGCACTCCCAGAATCACTGCAAGAACCCACGCGGGCCCCATGACCGCTGCCGCCTCTGACCCACAACAATCACAAGCAGAAATAGGCTTCCAGGCGCAGAAGGGAAACTTGTGGTTCTTTCTGCGGGGTGGGAGAAGAACAACGCAATTTTTCCAAGTTGCTGTGAGGGTGCAGAAACACCAATGAAAATCCTCTCTTCTGTAGTGTCATCAGTTTCCAGGAAGAAGCACAGCTGGCTTGTCCCTGTTGAGACAGATGTGGGGCTGCGGAAGACAGCGGAGGCACGTGTGGTGCATTAAGGATGCCCCGCCTTTCTGCCGGGTCAGGTGGGCTGTCCCAGGCGGTGCTCCAGAGCGGAAACCCAATTTTAAGCAGGGGGGCCATCAGCTGGGCAGATGTGCTGGCTGCAGTTCCAACAAACAGCAAGAGGGGGTGCTGATGTTGTGGGCTCTCCCACACTGGAGTTTTTCAAGAAGCAGCTGGATAGTCATCTGACAGGGATCATGTAACTGGCGTCCTGCCCTAGCTGGGCATTTGGCTGGATGCCATTCTGGGCCCCTTCCGACCCACATATTCTGTGATTCTGTGATTCCTTGAGGTGGGGCCATATGGAGGAGAAAAATCCTCTGATGCTTACAGAAAAGCACATTTATTTTCTGAGTGTGTTTCAGAAAATGGTTATTTTCCTTCCTCTGGAGGTGCAAGTAAAATGGAAATTGGCAAGGATCTTACTTTACTAATACCAATTCTTGGTGCAACCACACATGGAATATTGTGTTCAGTTCTGGTCACCTTATCTGAAAAAGGACTTTATGGAGTTGGAAAAAGTAGAGAGAAGGGCTACAAAGATCATGAGGGACTGGAGCAGCTTCCTTTTGAAGAGTGGCTACGACAATTGGGACTGTTATGCACATTGTGTTGTGGTTTCTTAACACTGAACTCAGGGATGCATTTATTTATAAACATAGAAACAGAGTGAGTAGAAGGTGTCTCCCGGGCCATATGGGCTGACCTCTGGCTGCAGCCGGCTTCACTCACGACATGCCCACCATGTGCATGTCCAGCCTATCTTTGAACACCCTCACCAATCGAACCTCAACGACCTCTCATGGAAGCCCATTCCACACCCTCGGGGTCCTAACAGTCAGGAAGTGCTTCCTGGCATCCAAATGGAACCTTGGTTCCCTGAGCTTTGCTCCATTGGAGCACGTCCTGCCTTCCTCTGCAGGGGAGAACAGGTTTCTACCCATCTCCATGTGACATCCCCTCACATACCTGTATGTCGCCAACAGATCCCCTCTGAGTCTCCTCTTCTCCAGACTGAAGAGACCCAGTTCCCTCAGTCTCACCTCATACACCTTCCCTGCAAACCGGCCACCAACCTTGTGGCCCTGAGCTGCACTGACTCCAACCTGGCTATATCCTTTCTGTAATGAGGGGCCCAAAACTGAGCACAATACTCCAGCTGTGGGCACACCAGAGTCATATAAAGGTAAAGGTTTCCCCTTGACATTAAGTCCAGTCATGCCAGACTCGAGGGGTGGTGCTCATCTCTGTTTCCTAGCTGAGGAAGCCAGCGTTTGTCCTCAGAAAGTCTCCGTGGGCATGTGGCCAGTATGACTAAACGCCGAAGTGCACGGAACGCTGTTACCTGCCCACTGAACTGGTACCTTTTTATGTACTTGCATTCGCATGCTTTCAAACTGCAAGGTTGGTAGGGGCTGGGACAGAGCAACGGGAACTCACTCCGTTGCGCAGATTCAAACAGGCGACCTTTCGATCTACTAGCCCCGCAGCACAGCAGTTTAAATCACTGTGCCAATTATCATATAGAGTGGTAGTAATACCTCTCTCAATCTAGAAGCCACACTTCTGGCTATGCAACCAAGGGTGGCGTTTGCCCTCCTGACCACCGCATCACACTGCTGGCTCAAGTTTAGCCTGCAGTCAACCAGCACCCCGAGGTCCCTCTCACAAGTTCTGCTCTCCAGCCACTTGTTCCCTGACCTGCACTTATGACACCTATTCCTATGCCCCAAGTTCAAGACCTTGAACTTATCCACAGTGAATGCCATCCTATTGTCTCCTGCCCACTTCCATAGTCGGTCCAGATCCTATTGGATCTGCAGCATCTTCTCAGTTGTGGCCACTGCTCCAGTTTTGGTATCATCTGTGGATTTGATCAGCAGACTGTTCACCCCTTCTTCCATGTCATTGATGAAAAGAATAAACAGGCTCGGCCCCAGGACAGAGCCCTGGGGGACCCCGCTTTTCACTGGCCACCATCCTGATGATTCCCCACTAATGGCTACCCTCTGCTTTCGATCAGTCAACCATGCCCTAATCCACTGGACAGTGCTTTGGTGTATCCCAAAACTCCTCAGTTTCTCCACCAGGATATCATGGGGTACTTTGTCAAAGGCCTTGCTGAAATCCAGGTATACCACATCCACTGCATCCCCTCCATCAAGCCATCTCGAAACCTTGTCATAGAATTCTACAGGGATTGTCTGGCAGGACCTATTTTTGCAGAAGCCGTGTTGTGTGGCTGTCAGCCTCCCTTCCCTATCTAGCACCACTAGATCTCTCTCTATTATGAGCCTTTCCATTGTTTTTCCTACAATGGACGTAAGGATAAAAGGTCTGTAATTCCCTTTGTCCCTTCTACAACCCTTTTTGAAAATTGGGACCACTGATGCCACCCTCCAATCCTCTGGAACTTAACCAGTTCTCCACAAGGACTCAAAAATGGAGGCCAGCGGGCGTGAGATAGCCCCTGCCAACTCTCTAAGTACTCTTGGGTGTAACCTGTCAGGGTCTGGCAACTATGCAATGTCCAATGCCCTGAGGAGCCACTCAACTTCTGGGGGGGGGGTGACTCTAATCTGTACCCCTAAGTCCCAGACCTCATCTAATCTCCTATGCGGATATCCCCCCTCCAGCTTTGGGGAGAACACAGAAGCAAAATAGTCATTCAGCATCTGTGGCTATTCCCTCATATCAGTCATTGGATCTCTTTCCCACTTATTTAGTGGTTGCACCACTTGTCTCCCCTTCCTCGTCCTATTTACATGCTGAAAGAAGCCCTTTTTGTTGCTCTTGATATTCTTGGCAAGTCTCAGCTCGTAATCAGGCTTAGCCTTGCGAAGAATCCTGCTGCAACAGGCCTCCTCCTCCCAGCATACACCCTTGTCTATTTGCCCCAGTACCCATTTCCTACAGAGGTTCCTCTTTTGTCTAATCCCTCTAACCACCTCCTTTCGCATCCATGGCGGCACTCTCCTCCACCTCCCCACCATACTGACTAGAGGTAACGTCAAGGCTTGCACCTCCAAAACCTCATTTTTGAGTGCCATCCACCTCTCCTCAACTCGCTTTCCTTCCAGTAACCTATTCCAGGAGACTTTCTCCAGTCTGGCCTTCAGTTGGCCAAAGTTGGCCCTATTGAAGTCTCAGCTTCTAGTGCTCGACCTGCTGCACGTCCCCAGTCCCCTCATCTCAAAGCAAAGGATGGAGTGATCACTCACATCCAGAGCTCCCCTAATCTGTATTTCATCTATGAGCTCCACCCTATTGGTCAAGACCAAGTCAAGGATGTTTCTCCCCCTTGTGCCTCTCGAACCCTCTGTGTGAAAAACCCTCCATCTATAGCTTCTAGGAAGCGATGTGACCTGGCTGTCACTGCCGAGTGAGTCTCCCAAGTAATATCCGGGAGATTGAAATCTCCCATAATTACTGTTTCTCTCCCCCGAGATATCCTTAGAATCTGGCCTCTCAGGACATCATCCAGGGTCTCAAGTTGACCTGGAGGGTGATAACATGCCCCCACTGTCAGGTCTCTTTCCTTGTCAAAACCCCTAAGTTTCACCCAGACTGCCTCTACCAAATCCCCATCTGTGCTGCATTCTCTCTCACTGCGTCCTATCCCTTCCCTGAAGTATAAAGCCACACCCCCACCCCTCTTTCCCTTCCTGTCCTGTCTAAAAAATGATACCCCTCTATGGTCACATTCTAAGCTTGACTTTCATCCCACCAAGTTTCTGTGATTCCCACCAGGTCATACCCTCCTATTCCCAGGGGAGCTCCAAGCTCTTCCTGCTTATTACCCATGGTCCTAGCATTGACATACATGTACCTCAACTATTTCGCACTGCTTCCTTTCCTTGGGGTTCCCCACCTACTCCTTCCTCCCATCTTCCCTGATACCTGACCCTTCTCTGTAGGAGTCCTGTCAGTCCCTGCAGTACCTCTAAAACCCTGATCCCAGAGCCGTGATCCTCTCCCCACACTTGTGCAGTGCAGACACATTTCTGGGGGGGCCTGAACCCACCCCCCACTCTGCTCAGTTTAAAGTCTTCCAGACGAAGGTCACTAGAGCATCTCCAAAGGACCTTTTCCCCATCCTCGTGAGGTGCAACCCATCCCTTCCCAGAAGTCCATTGGCAAGAAACTGGATGCCATGGTTGAGGAACCCGAAGCCTTCCTTCTGGCAACACACCCGAAGCCAGTCGTTTACCTCAGAGACCCTTCTGTCCCTTCCTGGCCCAAATCCCCAGACCGGTAAGATCGACGAGAAGGCCACTTGGGCCTTTCACTCCTGGAGTTTCTTTCCCAAGGTCTTGAAGTCCCTGGTGATCCCGACCACACACTGCCTGGCCACGTCGTTTGTGCCCACATGGATCACCAGGAGTGGCTGGTGACCCCCGGAGTGAACAAGATGGTCCGCTCTGTCCTTCACATGCCAGATGCGTGTGCATGGCAGGCAGCAAACCTCCCTTGTCTCCAGGTTGGGGCGGCACACCACCGCCTCAGTGCCCCTCAGCAGGGAGTCCCCAACAACAATCACCCACCACCGTGTCTTCCCGGAGGTGGTGGGCGGCTGTGCCCTGGCCCTTGCCTCTCTTGCAGTGGCCCCCTTGATGCTTGTGGTCCCAGGCTGAGGGTTCTGCTGGTCCCCTGATGCCTCATCAGCCCCAGCCTCCCCAAGTGGAGAGAACCTGTTTCCCAGCTCCAGATTGGTGCCAGGAGAAGAAGGAGACCT